TTTTTGTGATACTGAAAATGGAGATGTTGCATGTGTGAGGGATTTGCGATTTGACCATTGATTCTTGTGTAAAAGTTTGCGAGAAACACGATGGTGCCACTGGTTTTCTCTGAAATCAACTCCAAAGCTCAAAATAAGCTCTCAAGTTGAGGCCAAAATGGAGGGGATATCCCGCCTTACCCTGAGAGTCCACCTCTACATCAAAGCAAACTCTCCATGCAAAGATTGGGAGCAAATACATTAGCAGTGATGCTGTGTTTTCAATTTTAGAGTCCTCAAATAAAGTGGCAGCCCTGTCAATGTATTTGGTCCCTATCTTTGTATGGAAAGTTTGTTTTGATGTAGACGTGGACTCTCAGGGTAGGGTGGGATATTCCCTCCATTTTTGCCTCAACTTGAGAGCTTTTTTTGAGCTTGGGAGTTGATTTCAGAGAGAACCAGTGGCACCATCGTGTTTCGCGCGAACTTTTACATAAGAATCAACAGCCAAAACGCAAATTCCTCTCACATGCAATATCTCCATTTTTTGTGATACTGAAAATTCTATGTTTATTTACCAAAAGTCAGTGTTTATAAATGCTGCAAACAGATGCTGTTTTTCATGAAAATATTAAGTATTGTAAATATAATAGTTTTAAGATAGTGGGCGTTTAAACCTAGTTGTAATTTATTTTTGTGTGTTAATTGTGAAAAATGAATGGGAAAGGACTTTGTTATCGCCTCTTCAATCGTACATATTTGACTCGTTCGTCTCTGGAATCATGTAAAGTTGAAAATCGCAAGCCATCTAGTGTCAATTTTGTTCTTCTCGAAACAACTGCATTCAAATAAACACACCCATAGTCCGAAAAAGATTTGTTATTGATTTATTTTTTAAATTAGAGACTATTTAATCAAAACACAAGAAATGTCAATAGTAAAAGTTAAAGCTTCGCTTCTTAACCGTGGGGTTTCAAAAGTTCTGTTCCCTCTTCTCCTTTTTTGGGGGAATATTTTCATTCATGAAAAATTTCACGAATTAGAAACATGATCATGTAACGTTCCTTTGTGAGTCACAGAATTTTTTGGTTTTATCATCAATACCTCGTCAGATTCTTGTCATGAGACACGAGGAGATCAAAGACTGCTTCAGGATTTAGGCCAATGTCATCGTGTCAATTTTCATATCGATGGTTAAAAATTAAAGTGTTCTCCGCCGCACCAATTAATAACCTCTACTCATGTTTTATTTTTTTTAAAAGAAAATTAATCAAAATGCATCCTTAAAATTTTCTTGAATATTTCTAAATAAGTGAAGAAAAGTCAACAATGATGACGCACGGTTCCGTTGAAGGGAAGTTATATATACGAACTGAATAGCTAGAAATATAGTGACACCATGTTCCCCTTCATTCAGTGGACACGCAATTTATCTTCTTGGAAGTCAAAATATTTGTATTACGTGTTTCGCCCCATCCAACTTTTCTACCCGTGCGTTAAAGTCTCCGAGCTAGTCGAAAAGAATTGATGTTCTCCTTCATTTTGTAGATATGCAATATTATCGTCTTGGAGGTCAAAAAAATTGTATCACTTGTTTTGCCTCATTTTCGATTCTTTTCGACTAGCTCGGAGACTTTAACGCACGGGTAGAAAAGTTGGATGGGGCGAAACACGTAATACAAATATTTTGACTTCCAAGAAGATAAAATTGCGTGTCCACTGAATGAAGAGGAACACGGTGTCACTATATTTCTAGCTATTCAGTTCGTTTAACCGACCGTTCGATTCGTATAGCCGATTGTCGTTCCCGTTTTGGGCTGCTTTTACATACTCTTTGTTTTCCACCGTATAGCCAAAATGAGGTCATCAGAAATGACGAGAGAAGTTTGGTTACATGAACCGAACGTTTAGTTACACGAATAAAAAAATCGGTTTTATTCTGAAAAGTGAACGCACTGATTTTTATGGAAAGTTATGACAGTAAAAAGCCTCAATAAAAATTTTTCCATCAATAATTTTTTATGTAGATTTCGCAATTTTTAAATGAGCCATGCCTTATTTCAAGCCAGCATCACACGATCAAAGCAAACTCTCGAAAATGCTTGTCGACGGCATTATTGTTCCCTGCTAGCCTCTCAAAGATCGTCGGTCCGACGACCTGCGACGTGTTCTGGACACATCATAGATTACATACAGAGATGTTCAAGGAATTTCGTGCACTACTGGCTGAGAAATTAAAGGATTAGCGCCACTTTGAGAGCTCTACTTTGATCGTGTGATGCTGGCTTTACTGAATAAATACTGAATATATTCGGGCTTGGAAAAGTTTACTATTTTTCCCTTCATAGATGCTCAGAGACACTTCAAAAATTCGCACTCAGCGCATACAATATTAGTGGTCTGCATGCTTCAAAGTAGATTTTATTTCTACAAACTTCTCACTTTGTCTCTGTGCCACAAAAAATTGAGTCGCCACTCAAGTTTAATGAGTCACCAACTCATCATATTGCGTAATATATTTAAGAATTCGTTTCGGGTTAAATTTAGTTTATATATTTAGAAAGCACGGTTGAAGTAATGCCCTTCATCATGCTCGGGGTCTGCTCATTGCTCGGGGTTGATTAGACACATCGTCCGGTCATTTAGAAAGTGTGAGCTAGCAGTACTTGATGATGACGGAGCAGAGTTAAGGGTTCAGCGAAATGATTCTGAACAGCTATTGTCAGTTCTCACATGAAAATACATTTTTTGCCACGAGGTGTGCAAAAATTCGATCAGCTGTACAGATGAAATTGTCGACGGTGAAACTACCAAACCACGTATCTCGGTTTACGACGTCGCAGACTTCTTGTCATCCTTTATTTTTTAAATGAATAACTACTCAACATAAATTCTTCAAAAATTCCGTGATTCTTCTCCTTGAGAGAAGAAAACTCTTTGTAAACTTCAAGTCAAGGAATGATATCGATTTGTTCTCTTTTAAAAAAATAAAATGGAGACAGAAATTTTTAAACACCGCAAACGAAATACAAGGTATGTAAGTTTCACCGTCGATTTGTGATTAGTTAATTGATGATGTAGGACTGTGGGGATTGAAGAACTGCCAAAGTCACAAGAAGCGTTGTTGGAAGCGTGCACGTTTTATAATTTTTACAGAAACCTCACCCAGAAAAGAAAAATCACGAAAATTCTTGAGAAATGTGATTCTGTCAGGAAAATTTGCCTCAAATGGAAAATAGAGTTGTAAGCTGTAGGGCTCAGCATTACTGCCTGTAATAGGCACTATTTTACCTTCGTGTTAGGGCTTAGCGCTAAGTAGTTTTTCCGTGTTATCTTTTCTTTATAACAGATTTCATTGATCTTGACCTCAATTATTCGTTAAAAAAAAAAAAAAATTAAAAGCATGGAACTTCTGGATGCGTCCGACCTTCCCTCCGAAATAGAACTACCGCCGAAAAATTGCATATCTGTCAATTTCGGTACATAGGAAAAATTTGATTTTCATATTTCACCAGTGATCTCTTTTTCGGAAACACATTATCGATGTTGCATGTTCATCCATGTGCTCGCTGAGAGGATCTAGTTCAGTTATTATTGTGCACCATTTGGCGGCTGGAATGCAGAGTCATGTTGACTGAACGACCAAGGTAAGTCGAAGTATTTTGCCTCCGGCTAATGTCCACAATTATCGAACAATATTCATTGTTTTGAGAAAGATCGGCGACATGCGCATGCGGCAAAGACAGCCTCATCGGGTCATTGATTCCGAGTTGAAGTGGCGCTTACGTGTGCATTCGGTAATTTCCCAGTCCAGTTCATATTTCGTCGCTCCTCTGACGTAAGGGCGTATCTCAATTTCCACATGAGCCCCCAAAAGCGTGGATTTAAATGTAAAACAGGGCTCACGTCGAAATTGAGATACTCCCTTACGTCAGAGGAGCGACGATTTGGTGGCCATTAAAACATCACTGTACTCCAGTGGTGACTCCAGCAACTTGGCAACATTGTTAATCTTCCATTTAAGTTCATTGAAAATATCGATTGTAGATGAGGCATGCTGCCTCACCAAGAATCGATTGTTTTACACACATTTAAATGGAGGATAAACAGTGTTACCACCTTTCAAGAAACGACTCTGCCCGAACTCATACTTCTGTTTTCAATTATTATGAATGGGCGTGCGTATCCTAGTTTTAGAAATTGAACTTTTCAGTTCGAAATACATTCTTCACGTTATCCAAACTTTTCCTCTTTTGCTCATGATTTTACTGGAAGCAGTCGAGCCAGCGGCGTTAAAATTACACTGCAATGTTGGGAAGATTCACTTAAAAAATAATCATTTATTTAATAAGAGGAGAATGTTGCGCACAGAAAATCTCAGGAAATTTTGGTCAAAAATGAAGATAAATCTCAAAAACATTTAAAACCTGCTTTTGAAAACATTCTTATGGAAATAAGTTAGGAATGATTGAGACTTCGTAACGTTGCAATGCAAGTACAACCTTTTATTAGCTCTGACTCTTTCATTTAACCTCATTTAATGAGCACGCATGTTGATTGTTTCAAGTTAGTGATTGTTATTGACAACCACCTGCAACCTTGCAATTTACTCACTAAAAATAGGAGAAAAGCAGAAAGTTGTAGTTGTAGTTGTAGAAGTTTCATTTTCTAAATATACCCGAACACATTAAAAAGTTTCACCTAGGAAATTTTGATGAATTTTTTTCAAACTTTAAATATTTTGATCAAAAGGACGCAAAGGGATCCTCTTGGGAAAAAATGAGAGTGACCAAGAACTTTTGAAGTGGTGCAGTAGAGTGCGTAACTTCTGAAAATGGCAGCTCAATTCTTGTAATCTGTAGTATAGACACCAATGCTTCAGCATTAATATTAATTTCTCGCAAAGTAGTAGTATAGTAGTATAATATTCGTATCAAACTTTGAAGTTTATGATGCTCACTCGTGAAATTTATTTTTCTAAAAGTTTTCGCTGGAGGATAAAGACAACAATCAAGATCATATTTTTTTCTTAACCAAATTTATTTCTTATGAGCTATTGATTATGATATACACATATTATGATTAAATATTAACAAGTTAAACTTATTGCCGTGCGAGTGGATGTGTAAGTGCGAGAAAGAGAGAGAGAAAGGGAGCGAGAGAGTGGGGAGTGTTGATGCGGTGGAGTCCAGCCTCGGATGTTGTTGAGGGGAAGCCATGTGATAGATGCCGACTTAAGGCTGGAGAGAGAACCTGAAAAGAAAGGAGAAAACACTAAGATAAAAATGCAAATTACTAAAAAATTTAAAGGGAAGAACTTTCGCATTAAAAATCTTTGATCAGAAGCAGCGGCCAGGTTTACTTAAAATCTTTAACAATCGGATTGAAATGGAGCTACGTTTTCCGATGAGAAACTACAATTTTCGGTTCACCCACAAAATCACCTTCTTTCATACTGTCGTGCTAAGAAAGAAGGTCGTATGAAAACTCGAGAATTGCCAAATTTCCCCCGATAAAACATGTATTTTTGACGACATTCGTGCACATTTTTCATTGAAATTTTCATACATTTTAAATTAAATTGCGTACGAAATTGTTAGAAAATTTTGGAAAAAAATATTCACAATTTCCCCTGTCGATTCGGTTTTTATTGAAGATAATTTGGCAACATCTGAAGGCTCATACGGTGTTCTTCCTTAGCACGGCAGCATAGGAAAACTAGTTGCACATATTTTGCCTCTGAAATGAGCCAGACCTAGAATTTTTCAATCATAATACATAATCCAACTGAACCGCATTTTGCAATTAGGGACTACAATTTTCAGCACACATCAGAAAAAAACGTAATTGCCATTAGTTTTTCTATGTTAATGAGTGCTTTTACAAATGGGTCAGTTTAATTTCTAATTGCAAAATTTAGTCCAATCAATAGTTGGATTAACTTAAAAATTAATTATCCAAAGTAATCAAAACTAATTGGATAACGCAGCTGTTCTATCGATCACTGACCATCTTAAAGTGAGTTACGGCATAGAAGAGGGCTGGCAACACTTAAATAATTCTAAAAACATTAGGTGTATAGAGCAACGCTTTAGGCATCAGCCCATAAGTAATAAAAGTACTGCAATTAATTTTAAAGTGAAATTTCAAGTGGAAGAAAAGTTAAGATAGGGACTCAAACTGTCATTCTGAATCCCATATCGATGGTGAAACTACCAAACCACGTATCTCGGTTTGCGACGTCGCAGACTTCCTGTCATACTTTATTTTTTAAATGAAAAACTACGTAATGTCCAGTCTTGAAAATTTCTGTGATTTTTCCTCTTCGTGCGTAGAAAATTCTGTGAAAATCTCAAGGAATGATATTGATTTGGTCTACTTCAAAAAAATAAAATGCGAGCGTAGATTTTTAAACACCGCAAACGAGATACGTGGTTTGGCAGTTTCACCGTCGATATGCTTTGGTGTATCAATGAAAAATATTCATTATACTTACAAGGGGGTAGACATTTACAGGGAGATGATGTCGAAGGAAGTTCTTTCCTTTCCGTTAAGGGCGATGACGTCGAAGACGACGCGTTCCTTTCCGTTGAGGGAGACGATGTCGACAACGTTACGTTCCTTTCCGTTGAGGGCAACGATGTCAACCGTGTTGCGTTCTTTGCCGTTTAAGGCGACGATGTCCATGGCGTTGCGCTCTTTGCCGTTGAGGGCGACGATGTCAATGACGTTCTTCTCTTGTCCGTACATTTTGGAGTTTGGGGTTTGGAGTGGTTTGAGTAGGAATAAGCTGTGGAGGTTATAAATAGATTAGAGACTTCGATTACAAGTGAAGTACAACTTGTCAACTTTGAGAGTCGCGCCATGATACTTGAGAGGAATGAATGATGAAGGAGCTAAATGATAGTCTCGTGATTTTAAGAAAAATGCATTTGAAGTTGAAGAAGTTTGTAGATGCATTTGGTAATGATGAAATTTTAGCGAGGAAATTGAGGTGAAAAAAGGAATATTGGGCTGTTACTTTGGAGTCAGTTGTCAAAGGAAAATTAATTTATAAAATATGAAAGCAAAATATTGACATTATTGGAAAGATTGCAAAAGGCAGAATTTTCTGACGCTTTCGAGTTGATATACTTTATACTCTATGATATTTCTTTAATTTTGTAAACAATTTCACACTTTTCTAGTGCCTTAAAGGCGCTTGTAAACCTTTGTGCTTTCAAGTTTTCATGTCAAGTGTATCAATCTTGAAAAAATAAAGTGAAAAGTTAGGGGAAAAATTTCCTTTTAGAAGTAATTTATTTTTCTAAAGTTTGGAACCCAAAATGCAGGTTTTTCATTTTATAGTCACTATTTAAATTTGAAGATTAATAGATTGAATGAAATGCAAAAATGTAAGAAAGTAAATCTCGAAAATCACTGAATTTATGACTCAAAAACTCTATAAAGAGACGGAAAGAAAGAGAGAAAAGAACAAACAAACAGGATTGAAAATTAAAGATTGGTTGAATAATGAAGTGAAATTATTTAAGTTTGAAATTATTAAACTTCCTTAAGTTATTGGTGAGGTCCCTAACAAATCTGTAAAAATGAACACTCTTACCTTGTTAGAAGCGTACAAAGTCAGAAGCAATATGATAGTGCACTGGGAGTGATGGGCTTTATATAGTTAAGAAATTAACAGAAGACATACGAAGGCATAAACAACAACGAGACAGCCCGATTTTGAGGGGAAGCACATCATTGAACTCTGACTCCGAAACGCAAGACAACAGACCACCAGAACCACCAATCAGAGAGCATAGCGTGATGTATCACTCTTTTTCTGCTGGCCTTTACTCTTATCATACGTTCACTAGAAGTTTCTCCATTCAAATTGTTTTGCTTTGATAGCACAAAATTGCTTCCCATTTCTCGATTGGCCAAACCCACGAATTATTTTAAAAATTTCCGTAATGTTTGGTATTTTATTTCTGATGAGTTGTAAACAAGGATTACGATATGTGACCGTCACAAAGGTGTGCACTGAAAAAAAATTCTCGGCGTTTTTACCAAAGTCCGTTGGTACCTTTACCATCTCACTTTTTTTATCAATTATTGGTAATTTTACCAAGACGGACTGGTAAGCTTACCTAAAAACCGGTATTTTTACTGTTTTTTTCAGGTAAGAATACCACTTTTATTGGTAATCAATCCTCGGTAACTTTGCCATTTTATCTCGGTAATTCTACCACAGTCGATAAAAAATATTGGCGTTTTTACCAAGGTCCAGTAAAATTACCGAGAAAGTTCAATAATTTTACTGAGATTTCTCGGTAAAATTACCAATTCCATAAATAGTAATTTTACCAAGAAAAAACTGGGATCAAATAGAACCCTGAATTCTTGGTAATTTTACCCTTTTCTTAGTAAATACACCGATATTTTTTTTTCAGTGTGGCGTGCTTTGCGATGTATCGATTGATCAGCCATTTAAACCTACGGAAAATGATCGATAAACAGGGCGTTCGCAACGAACACCTTGAGAATCGATTCTTTACCATAACCTCAAAGGGGGGAATATCGATATTCGACCATTCATCATTCACGCCTTGCCGCTAAACTGTCAACGGGAGAAAAATACTCAATGGAGCTATTTCTATCGAATTGTGTCGAGAAATCGAATTTTTTTCCCACTGAAAACTTTTTTCAGTATCCTAAAGTTTTACATGGGAGTAGCCCAGTCCACATTTTCTGCCAAAAGAGACCCTTCAGGTGCATTATGATATGTCAATATCACACCCTTAACATTGCAAATCGTTTCATAGACCTAGAAAATATGTTTTTAAAACTGGAGACTTTGTAGACGTACTGCCTAAACTCCGGTTTGGTTTGACCTTTTTGGATGGCTTTTGTCCTGAAATTTTCGCAAAACACTCTATTATGCTCTGATACCAATACCTCAATTTTGAGATGTTGTGGGCAGCTCGTATAAGCCTTCAGACGTCGCCAAATTCTCTCTCATAAAATACGAATTTTAGGGGAAAACGTGTGAATACTTTTCTTCCCATTTTTAGAGAATTTTATTTGCAATCTGATGTAAATTATCTGAACATTTTAAGAGAAAATATCCACAATTCTCATTAAAACTAAACATTTTATTGGAGGAAAGTTGGCAACTGCCGAATGTTCAAACGGCGTTTTCCCATAGTAAGGCATAATGGCTCTTTATCCCATGGACGGTCAAATTTTAAATGGATTGAAAAAAACTTCTTTTTCAAAGAAAAGAGCGCTCAAAACTCTCTCAACTAGATCAAACTATAAAACAAAGAGCTATAGTCAGCAATGGCGTGGCGTGAATTGCGATATATCGATTGTTATGCCATTTAAACCTATGGTAAAGAATCGATTATTAAGGTGTTCGCTGCGAACACCCTGTTTATCGATCATTTTCCATAGGTTTAAATGGCATAACAATCGATACATCGCAATTTACGCCACGCCACTGATAGTCAGATGCAATAGGATCAATGTATGAGGGTTAATGCAACAAAAAATTAACATTTCCAAAATTAAAAGTAAAACTGCAATGGGAGTTCAGGTTCCAAAAAAGATGACGAGTTTGAAAATCCATCCGCAATTCTTGTTGATTACTGACGTTTAAAATTAATGGGGTCACGGAATTTTGACGCAAACACTCGACAATCGCGTACTCACTCATCTACGTTGTCTACGCTGAGGCTGAGGCTGTGATCAGTGGCGTGGCGTGAATAATCGATCATCGATATCTTGCCATTTGAAGCTATGGTAAAGAATCGATCACTAAGGTATTCGCTGCGAACACCCTGATAATCGATCTTTTTTCATAGGTTTGAGTGGCGTGTCAATCGATATATCGCAAAGGACGCCACGCCACTGACTGTGATGGTCCGTATGCCGACATCAGATCCGATTTGAGCCTCTAATTTCAATCGTTCAATCCAAACTTTTAGAAAACTTATCTAGCTTTTTCTCCCAATTCCTCTGATAGCTTTTTTAAGGAGAACGGGTTCTCTGGGACTGTAAAGAATTTCCATCGATGTATTAATAGTGATTGCTAGATCACAGTATTCCCGAAAGTCACAGTCCCCGAGTAACAGCCACCAACTGATAAAATTGCGCCCCATAAAATAAATTAAAAAATCAGTTACAATGTTTTCTAAATGGTACAACTTCAAAATACATATATCAGCATTTTGAATTTGAATTCTTTAAATCTACTTGGGGAGAACTAGACGGGATGGTGCTTTTTATGCTAACATCTTATTCAACAGAGCAAATGCACCAATTTAATGAAGCATTGCATTGAAGGATGTTGAATAATATCGCCTGGATACAACTTTTCGTGTTCTATGGACATGCAAGTTGCATAATGACGAAATCGAAGGCGCTCTGGTCGCTTTACTCCATGAGGCAGTGGACGCAGCAGCGTATGGCGTGCCGTTTTGAGAGGATGGATAAAATTCTCTGATAGAAACTATGGAGGAGGAAAGGATATATTCGAACCATTTTAAACTTTCAGGATATTGTATCCCTCTACCACACCGAGTTGTTACAAAGTGTCTCTGCGAGCACTGTTTCATGGACTAGAATAACCGGAACGCCTTCAATTTGTAGTATGCAACACGGCTGTCCATAGAGCACGAATTGTTTCATCAAGGCGTTTTTACCGATATCAATTTCCTGTGCTTGGATAATATACTGGTAGTTAAGAAAACACGCCGTATAAAAGCGTTGCCAAATTTGCAGCCATGAAATACTTTCCTGTAGAACTTGCAAGCTCTTACTTATTTTAATTTTCGGTAATATCCTCAGTTTAATGTAATCTAATGATACTGCAATTTCAAGTGAGTACATTCCTGACTTTCCGCAAAATTAACTTTTTATCATTGAAATCTAGGTTGAATCTTCCACCAGCGTTTTTGCGCCGCGGCAAACTTACTTTGCCATGCATCGGCAAAGCTTGGCACGGGTGGTCTGGGACACCTTGTATTAACTTTGTAACGCTGTATCCCGACAGATTGCTAGAAAATAGTTTCTACAGCAGTTTTAATCCCAGTTGTATCAACTGATAGACTTTTGCCCCAGAAAATAAAAAAAAGATCAGTTAAAGTTGTTTTTTTTTTAAACAAAAAACTCCAAAATCTTAACAGTTTTGATAGTAAAAATGCCAATTTTGAACTGCTGTAATGCCATAAAGATCTTTGAGCTGAAGCCAAAACTTTTACTGGAGGAGCGCCACGTCATAAGATTGTTTTGGGGACTGATTTGAACGAAATCGCTGTGTTTCCGGAAAAAAGCACCTTCGTGACAGGCTTTTCAATCAAATTTTTAGGAGTTCTGATGTGTTTTGATTGAACAACTAAGGTATCACCGTAAATACTTCACGCCAAAAGTATGTATCTGCGAGTAGGTGTAAAAAATATGCGTGAAAAATTTGAAATTTAACAGCTTACCCTTTGGAAAAATATACCAAACTATTCTCGACCTTCTTTTATATTCTTAATATACTTATAATAGTCTGCTCCATAAACTTAATCTCTAATAATAAACTCCATTAGTTTTCCTTTGAACTGTGAAATGCGTTTTTTTAATGGGTGTTGCATCTTTAAAATTCAAGGGGGAAAATGTGGTAGGATATTTTGAAACATCGCAATCAAGGTTCCAATTTTTAGCGTCACCATACCATTTGAGGGGCTTGGAGGATAAGGCGTATAAGTGCAGTTTTTGCAAATTCGAAAATTATGTGTTTGAATTTTTGAAATTACATGGAACCTCATGGTGGAAAGAAAGTTCAGACTAACTTTTTGATGCTTAAAAATTGGACTTGGGGAGCGAATTTTTCACAGAATATGCAATAAGACCAATTTTACTTGAAACCATTAATAACTCAATTTTTTTCAAAAACTGCACTTTTGGGCCTTGTCCTCGAAGCCCCTCATTTAATCTTTTGGAGATCAGTAATTGCAAGGAAATTGAACTTTTTGTAATTTAAGATATTTTGATCTGATGTGCAATTATCCAGAAAAATAGATGTTTAATTTTAATTGGTTATCAGTGTGAACAGAGGAGAGTGCTTTAAAGCTTCTATCAAGTTCAGCATCGGATGATCGTACGAAGTTCCAGCTTCCAGCGCTTGGATACGCTTCCCCTCGAAACCACGCCATTTCATTGACTGATAATGAGCACAGGGCCCAGTATAAATACCCCGTTTGATTACAAACAAATCAAGTCAGTATTCACTAGCTCAAGCTTCTACTTTTCTCAGGTATGTTCATCACTCCCCTTTATTATTTTCTTCAGCCAGTTCTAGATTGTAGAGTCAACTCCTCTAAGATAAATTTTCAGTGCAAAAAATATTACTCTTGTTTTTCAAATTTGTAGAAAAATGTTAAGAAAAGCGACTTTCTTTTGATTTTTAAAATATATAATTGCATCTGAGAATATATTAAAGTAGTATTTTGGAGAACTGATTTACTTTCCTCCACGAGTATTCAATTTTAAACTAAGCGCTTGAACTTTTCATTAGAACCCCTCAATGCAACAATTTTGAGGAGCGAAATAATATTTTAGAATTTACGTTAATTAGGTGTTTGTGGAAGACCGGCCACCCAAATTTTTGAACGAATTAGAACCGTAATTTTATTGTAGAGCATTTCGTAGAGCCAAATGAAAACGAAACTATTACTTCAAGTCACTTTTCTGATGTCTCTCTGCCAGAATTTTTGGAGTTATCATTTTGGAGCTTTAGGTACGTTTGTGAAGCTACGTAAAAAGAATGATTGAAAATATTTCATTTTCGGATATTGTTTCTTATAGACAGATGTTTTCGGATGTAGTCTCAAAAAATACTCCCAATACCTAGCGCGCCGGAATTGTCAGGGTTTTTTTTTTGTAGGACTAAACGTCTCACGTCTTAAATTGAAGTTTAGATTCATGTCCGATCAAAGGTATGAAGGACTTTTGAGTATAAGTTAGTTAAAACAGCCTTACCTTTGTCTAGCAGCCTTAACTTTCGGAAACTCTCCATCCTCAAGGGAACTGTTTACCAACGTTCAGTCATTATTTTCCACTTATAGTTATCCTACTTTGCATTTCAGCCTTTAAAAACCCCAACCAAACTCCAACATGTACGGACAAGAGAAGAACGTCATTGACATCGTCGCCCTCAACGGCAAAGAGCGCAACGCCATGGACATCGTCGCCTTAAACGGCAAAGAACGCAACACGGTTGACATCGTTGCCCTCAACGGAAAGGAACGTAATGTTGTCGACATCGTTGCCCTCAACGGAAAGGAACGCGTTGTCTTCGACGTCATCGCCCTCAACGGAAAGGAAAGGACCTCCTTCGACATCATCTCCCTATAAGTTCCTCTCCCTGAGTCCGACCATCTGTAATAAAAGGTGAGATCCTTTACCTGTCAAATGATTCCCCCCCCCCCAATTTAAACTCAAATTTAACTCAAATTTCAACTCAAATTTTTAACTGAATTATGTTTAACATTCAGTAAGTGATTACGCGTTGCAAGTGGCTCTCAAATTGTATTAAAACATGTAATTTTGATAGAGCGCTAATTCTCGATCCATCCAAATTATTTAATCGTTCTGCTAAAAATGTATCCAAAAATTTAGCAAATACTTTTGAATATCAAATCTTGTATAAATTTTCTTTGCTTTTTAATTTGAATAAATCAGAATTCATCCCTTCTCCCCTCACCATGGCGAGCAGAACACTTGCTTATTCCGATACTTGATACTTGATACTTGAAATTTCATTCTCACTTGTGCTAGCAATTTTGTGCATCTGAAAGCTGTTCCGATTTTAATACTAATAAACGTATTTTCTTGTGTTTCAGCAGATGGAAAGATTCCTGGTTAATAGAATGAAGTGCTCCTGAATTCTATATCCCTCTTTGGATCCACATAATTACATTCTGTGTAATCAAAATTTAGTCCGAATAAAACAATCAAAACGAAAGTCTATGTGTTTTTTAATTTTCGATGCATGAATTTACTGAAATACTTTACTAATTACCTTACTAATTTACTTTGCCAATACTATGGAATCCTTCAGCGATTTCCAGACCATAGATTACTTCCATTTAAAATTTTAGCATGGTTATATAGACCATTTCAAATGCAAAATAGCATTGAGACATTAAAACATCAAAAAATGTCTTAATTGCGTAGATATTTATGTTCCCTAAAGGAATAATTGCTTACCTGCTTTTTAATTTTTGTCATAAATTTTTTCCCCAAAAAATAGAAGAACAATAAAAAAAAGTGCAGCAATACTCTTGGATGAAAATAAGATAATTTCCTTACCAAATACTTGGGGAAAAAAATATTTTTTTTATCACCTCATGACAAAATGAGAAAAAGAGCGAATGCGATTTCAAGTAAATTTCATTTTGCTTGCTATATTTTTAAAAAAGAAAAGCATTCAACACAGTTTATAGGCTACATATTTTTATACAAACAGAGCAACGGTTACTGAAGCGCTTAATAATCTTGTTCGAATAATACTCAAGGAGTAAATACTATTTTTATATTTTTTAGAAAGAATAGAACGGAACACTTCAGAATAGTTGCATGTCAGTTTTCAAAACCCCTTTGAGACAAAAAACATAATTGGTTCTTATGAAACTTTAGCAAATCAAAAACAACATTTCACTACTCTGCAAACCCTACGTATTACAGCCCTGTACAACAATGCCTCATGAACATGCCTACTTTATATTTTTAAAGGAGAAAACAATGAAATAGTCAAAAGCCGTTTCTGAAGACCTCTGTAGGATCAAAAACACATCGATGGTGAAACTACGAGACTACGTATCTCGTTTGCGATGTTAAAAAATCTCCGCTCTCATTTTATTATTTTTTTTTTTTTGAAGTAGAACAAATCAATATCATTTATTGAAATTAGTGCAGAGTTTTCTTCGCTTATAGAGGGAAAACCATGGAAGTTTTCAAGAATTGACGCTGAGTACTTCTTTATTTAAAAAATAAAGTATGACAGGAATTCTTCAACATCGCAGACCGAGATACAAGGTTTGGCAGTTTCACCGTCGATATTTGGACTGCATTTTGCAATTTGGACCTATAAATTCTGGCCCATTTGAAAAAACATTTATGTGCATAGGGAAACTAATGGCACATACGTTGTTTTTAAACCGGGCCGGAATTGATAGGTCCAAATTGCTAAATGCAGTCCATTTGGTTTTTTTGAAACTCGAAGTTATTCAAAAATAATGTCCTCAGAATCCCCAATTCGCTCTCCTGAAATCTCTTCGCAGTTGCGATAATTCCTCCAGCACGGATTTTAGCTCTCTCTCAATCTCACGGACTTCCTTGCGCGTGTCCTCCTCCAACTTCCTTTTCTCGGCCATCATCTCATCAGACTTCTTTTGCAGAGCATCAACTCGGACTTTCCTCTGATCCGCAATAGCGTTCCTACTCTTTTTAGTCTCGTTTTCCAGCGCCGTACGTTCCTCCCTCTTTTGTGCCAGCTGTTTTTCCAGGTCTGCCTTCTTTTCCGCATCACGTCTGTTTCGTCTCACTTCCCTGATAAGCTCTCGAATTTCACGATCGATTTTTCTGTAACCCTCCTGGGCTTTTTTCTGGATTTCACTGATCTTGACTCTCTCCTCGTTTTGTAGCTTCAATTCAGCCTGGAATTCTGTGTTCAGCTCGTCTGCTTTAGCGCGGATCTCCTCGTGCTGCGCTCTCTGAAGCTCTTCCTTCTCTTTCCTCAAGGATTCCATCTCTGCGAGTTTGGCTTTTATCTTTGCTGAAATCTCTGCTTTCTTGTCGGGAGCCGCCTGCGTTGGTAGTTGATTCGCCAATGGTCCGGCTAGCTGGACATCTTTGAGATCCAGACCGTCATTTTGAGTTGAATCGGAGGCACATGGAGGAAACTGCACCTGAAAAATTAGACATTTTATTAAAAAATTGAAGTTTTAAATTTCGTCTTCACTCTATTTATTAGGCTGATCCACCACTCTATCAATTAATCCGACTAAGAGAGGCGAGGGAGCCCTTGGGGTGGAAGAAAAATAAAATGAGATTACCGGAGAACTGTTCAAAGGAGGTGATTTTGCATCTTTTTGAGCAAGAAACATCCAAAATTGGGTATTTTTCATTCCGTAGATTCTCACGAACAAAATACTTGTTGAGGGTAAATCTTTTCAAAAATCACAATGAGCACGTCAAACAAATTCTGAAAATCACTAACGAACGATTTGCATGGTCTGATATAAGAGTTCAATTAAGTCACTTGTCGATATGATTCTCTTGTACCCAGTAACGGTAAAAAACTATTTTTTTTTTTTTTTACGGAAGGCCCCTCGTGGGATTATTTGATGGGTAAAAGTGCCTTCAAAAGGTAGGGTAGGCAAAAGACATGATTTGTGCGGATAATTATGTGCCCTCATTTGATTTTAATCTTTCAGCAGCATTCATTTCCCATATTGAAAGCCAATTGCAGTTTATTTACTATAGGTCTTTGGTTTCCGTTAAATTACTTTTTCTTTGTGCTTTTTGAAATGGTGAGGCTCGAGGAAAATGCTGAATTTTAGATGTCTCTAGAAATAAATTGAAATGGATCTCTCATTTTCAGATTCAGAAATTTTGAGTTAAAATCTATATCCGGAAACTCAAGTTTATGATTAGAAGATGAAATACCCGTTTCTGCGCCTTTCTACGTAGAGTATATTCTGTGAGATTCTCAAGCTATGATGTTCTTCTTTATTGGAATAAAGAAGGAGCCGACATTTTGAACCGCAAATGAGCTACACATTTCTCCGTCATTTTCAGTTTCACCGTCAATACAAGTTCTTCAAGTTTTATATCGATATTGTTAAAATGGAGAATTTGCACGCAAATTTTGTTTCATCTGAGAGTGCATAGGGAGCTGATTTCACAGTATTTTTTAGAATTATTTTTCGATACGGGAAATACTACAATAACAGGTTCGAAAGAGAGAAAATGCACCGTCTAATGAGGTTATCGGTACACGGACTTTATGTCCACTCTTTTTACGTCCATAGACTTTTCATCCACAATTTTTACGTCCACACTTCTAAAGCCCACACTATTGTTAAGTCCATTACTTAAACGTCCACTAAGTTAAGTCCACAAATGTAAAGTCCACTAAAATCAAATTCAAGCGTCATATTTTAGTCCGTGTGTAAAATTATATTGACTATATCGAAATGAGAAAATTAAGAGAGAATGAGGTATTGTTATCGTAACTCATATTTTAAATGAAATGTTAATTTCTTCTTTTGATTCATCTTTTCAAATTTTCTTTGGTAAATACTTGGTTTCATTTCTATCCTTGAAATTTCCGATATAAAATATGCCTTAAATGTACATTCTTTTCTTTTTTAATGAAATTGATTACTTCATTTTAAAAACATTTAAATTTTTAAAACGTGGTAAATATTTATAAAACCTTTCCCAAGCAATGGCATCGATACGAATATCAATGAGCCGTAGTTGTGATGAATGAAACTATACAAAAATTAATAAAAGAGGAAAAAACTAAGAAGCACGCAATTTTTTGTGTTTAACTCATTTGTACATCGATCTCCTTGAGTCAAATACGTCCAATTTTGAGCGTTTAGTTGCACTTACACCACGCTGCAGTACAGTAAAAGCCCAAAACATTGAATGCTTTGGAAATCTTTAAATTTGACACGGAACGACTTTTATATTTACAAAAAACACATTATATTTTCCAGTAGTACATATTTCTTTTTCATCAGTTTAAAAGGGAATAATCAATGCAGAGAGTGCAAACATTTCAAAATCATGAGTTGGAAAACGCTAACTCGGCGAGTTTAAATAATAGAGCCTAACACAGAGCGGAGCGACGTGTTAGCAGCGCAGAACGCGCATGGGCGCCTACAAACCTAACGGGATACTTCACGCATTGCGCAACGCGTGAAGTATCCCGTTAGGTTTGTAGGCGTCTATGCGCGTGTCACGCTGGTTGCCTGCCGCGCCTCAACGCTTTAAGCAAATATTCCGCGTCAGAGGCGTTGCACAGTATCCTACAAGATTGAAGGCGCACGAAATAACTACACATAGTTACAGAGAACTTTCAATTTTGACTGCATCTGTTACTGAAAAATGTTTAATTTGGCATTGGAGCGTTTCCTAGGCTCCCGCTTTGGTTTTCATCTTATCATATCCGCACAGTGTACACATGAACATATGTTTTTATCTGCTCTTAGAGTCTGTTCTCTTTCATGACTTGATTCATGAATGAAATGTTTTTAAGAATAAAGGTAGTAGTAGTATGCATTCATTTTTGAGGTAGTTCCTGTCATTTAAATGAGAAGAAAAAAATGTGGACATAACACATTCACAATTTGGACAATTTTGGACATCTTCATTGTTGACATTAAATCATGTGGACTTAAAAAAGACTTGACTTAAAGTTTAGTGGACATAAATAGCGGTGGACATTTATTTAATGGACGAAAGGTAGGTGGACATAAAGTCCTGGAAGCACGTTATCTGGCGGCATTCCCCATTTAAACACACGTATTTTAGCAGATTAGATCATTTTGTCATATCTCATCCAAAAATTGTTTAATTTATTAACCAAGGGTATCCTCGTGTTCAGTTCACTCAGTGGTTTCCACTTGAACACAAAATTCATCAAATTCAGACACCTGCAAATGCTCTATTAGTGCAATTTTGACCACTCAAAAAACCAGTATGAACACTCAGTTAAGATGACATAATATTCAAAATTGTCAATTTTACCTGAAGTATGGCGGCTACAAATAGGAGGAGAAATGGTTTACGCCTGAAACCCATGTCTGAAAACTTGAAACTCAGACTGCAGTGCATCCACTCAGTATCTCGGGGACTCAACTGAGGTTCGTTTCGAAAACTGAAATCTCTTAAGCCGAATCAAGGTAAAAGGTCACGTCATGAAGACTCACTAAAAGGCTTTAAAAAAAATTCAGACGCAATTTTGAGCTTTTACCATCGACATTGCATGCGAATTGATTTGCGTGACGCTTAATTTTTTCCAGGAGAGCAAGATAGTGACAGTTGAGGAAAAGTACTCTCTACTAAATCTGCTCGCATATACCTTTTTAAAGGTGGAAAATCATGCAATTGGAAAATCCTGCCGGTAACGTGCACACGGAATTAGAGTGCCTACTCAGGACACACGCAATGAAACGTCTAGTGGTGGGCAAAATAAGAACTGCGGGACATATTCTTAATTACGTGGCTTTAATGGATGCCCCACCAATGGTGCAACTTGATAAAAAATGTACTTTGGAAAAAAGTGACTTGACTTTAGCAAAACTATTCTCTAATATGCCATCAAGAAGATTTTATCTGAAAGTAAGAATAAAATCAATTACACTAGATTCTTGGTTACTTCGACTTAACAGTCATCTTTAGTCGGACCGAAGATTGTTAGCTTTATAACTTCCAGCAAGCAAAAGGAACTCGTAATATATAGTTTCCTCTATAATTTGACTTTCTACCTGATCTGTCACACAATCATACTTACGTCATGGTCAAAGTTTCAAAAATAAGACGATGTTTTTCTAGAAAAGAAAGAAATGTTGAATTATTGAATAGTTTCAATTTTATAATTTTCAAAATTTTAGGACAATAACTGAAAAACTGCCCCAAATTTTGAGAGTAGACCAATTCTTGTTCAATTTCTCCCTCTCTAGTCATTAAAATGTTCGGTTTGGCTATGGTCTTACCTACTCGTTGCCCCCGCGCACAATTTATAATAAAACCTTCAATTAAATTAGATATATCGCCTATTTGTATACACGCCAGGCACAGTGCAAAACTTTTCTTCCAACAATCAAACATAACATCTGTGTCATAATTATGTGTGCTCGTTAATGATGATAGACGGAATCTGTTTGGTTTTTGCGCAAAGCCGTCGCTGACTTTGGGTTCGCCCTCTCAATGAAACAATTGTGCGTAAAAATAGCTCTGGTAAAGGACCTTTACGCAAGAGCAATGACCGACTCCAATACACATCTGCTTTAGAGATACGTTTACTTTCAATTAATTTTTTATATTACAAATGTAAGTAATGAGGCTCGAAGAATTTAATACCGAGGGTTTTGGCCTCTAATCAAAGTACGATTCGTTGGAAGTAGAGAGTTAGGCATTCGCTTGAAGCAAATACAGTTCAATGGAAGTGAAATTTCCATAACGTTAGACGTGCCATTTTTTCTGCTTTTCATTTTTAAATTCGTTCAGAAGTATTTGATTAGTAGTAGTTCTAAAAATCCTTGTTTTAGCACTTACACCTCTCTTTCTGCGTCTAGAGTATGTTCTCCACGTGACCAGCATGCGGATATCAATCGTTTGATGTCATTACTGTCATCATCTTCCGCATAAGTACGCGGAAAATCTATGACTCAGCAATGAAGAATTTAGTAAAATGGAACATTTTTAAGATTCTCATCGAACAATTTAAATTTTTGTTATTACCAAAAACACCTTTGATGCACAACATTTGGTTCTTTGAAGCTGCACATAAGAAATAGCGTGAAAGTCTGGTGGTTAACTCGGTTATGGTGACGAAGGAGGCCCAATGAATAAGGAGGAAGCGCAAACTTCAAAAAATAACGTGATAGTACTACAAACTATTTTTTCTTAGAAAAATAATGGAAAAAACAGAGTCATCAAGCACCCATGGTGACCTGTACCACAACTCGTATTTCATTTTTTTATCTCAGATCCTTGGAATGTTCCCTTTCAAGGGACCAAACTTCAAGTTTTGTCCGTGGCGATTAACGTACACTGTCATTTTAACATGTTTATCTCTTTTCCAACTTTCTTGCACCTATTTCTACGTTAAGGTGGGCCCCGAGTCTTTTGGTACAAACAGAGTCTGGCCAGTGATTGTCGCCTCCTCTTTCTTATCATCCACAGCATGTTTGAGTTGTAGGTACACGTGCTTGTTCATAACTCCTCGGTATGTCAAGAAAATAAATTCGAATCTCCTTAAAATACGGCCACACCTACAAACCACATCTTACCTGAAATCGCGCTGGATTTGGCGCAGAAAAATTTTAGCCTATCAATTCGTTGGCTGCATGGTTTTTGTCACGTTATCGACAGCGTTCGATTTATGGAGGACTTACAATTTCATCCAAAGCCCGATCAAAACTTATAACATCTACTTCTATTGCTTCAAAAAATTCCAGAAGTGGACGATCTTGTGCGCAGATTTTCATTATATTTTCACCGTTCTTGAGCTAGTTTTGGCTTTCTCTCAACTTAATGAATGTTTGGTGAAAGTGGCTGAAAGTTTTAGCTCCATACACGTCGAGGCCATGTTGTATAAAGAAGATCGGATGAAAGTGGTCGAATTTGAAGAGAATTTGATGGACCATTACACGGAAAAGAAAAGAATATTGCTGGAAGACGAAGACAGACACTTTTTGGGTGTCGGTAGAGATTCAATACCTATGTCTGGTTCTCGGGGAAGGATCCAATCAGAATTGAAAAGGTCGGATGGAACTACTTCGAAAAATCATCCTCAGGAGTCAAATCCTGAGATCCTACCTTCAAGAATGTCTGATGAAATACACAAGCTATACCTAGTGTACGTCCAATTGGGAAAAATAAAAACATGGGTCAATTCTCAGTTTCAGTTGCAGCTCTTTTGTTCATTATCTCATCTACTGTGCGTGGGCTTCCTTATTATTTACTACCATTTTTCCAGGGAATCCAGGATGCTGATTTTCTTCATAAGATCAGTCTACATCAACCTGTACATTGTTGTCGTCCGGTTTATTATAGTGGCAAGAGTGTCAGATAACACCCGGATACAGGTAAGTCAAAAATTGGCAGTAAAGATTATTTAATTTTATGACAAAATACTTCGTACACTTTTTTATCTACATTTGGACCGCTTTTAACAGAGAGGAACCAAGCCACATTAGCTATTGCCAAATTTAACAGGGCAATTCAATTTTTTACACGAAAACGTTTGTGGAGATTCTAGAAAGTTTGAGGAATTTTCTTCGTCCTATGCAGAAAATTCACTGAAAGCTCAAAAATCCACACAACCGTTTTCAGGTAAAGAATCAAACTGCCCAATTAAATTTAGCAATATGGCTGATGTGGCTTGGTTCCTTTCTACTTAACACGGTCCATTAGTGTGATAGTGTTTTTTTGGTAGAAGGGCTGTTGTAAATCGCCGATGAAAGCAACGCAAGTGTGATCCTAACGCCTGAATACAACTATTCGTGTTTGAGGGATGTCAATGCTGCATACCCACAAAACTGAAGGCGCTACAAGATTATTTGCCAAATTAGAGCGGGCGCTTGCGCGAGCACTACACGATGCGAGCAATTCTTAGCTAGGTACTTTCTTTCCACAGTCCACTATTCTTAGGATTTTAAGAACAGATTTCTGACGCATGATTTAAAAAAGTAGAATTTCTTTTATCCATTATTTTCTCCGGAAAATTCGCATCAAATCGATTTGTTGAAGTTTCCAATGTGTGCATTTCTTTCTGACATTTCAAGTCATTGTAAAGTTATTTTATGAAATGACAGAAACGAAGTGACAAGACCAGAGCAGTGAAAAACCGTTCCGTCGTTTCGCACTCATTCGATTTAGTGAAACAAGTTTTGACAGTGACTCATGTAAGCGAGTCGCGCTGCGCTCGTTCCTGACCATCAAAAGTACCCGTAGCGCCTTCAACTTTGCGTGTATGCAGCACGGACATCCTTCGAGCACGGATAGTTGTATTCATGTGCAAGGATCATTGTCGCGTTGCATCCGACGGCCAAGATAGTAGCTGCAGACGCCTTGCCGTATACTTTTTCTGTTTTAAGTGTAACTTTCTTCCTCTATTATTGCTGAACGACGCATTCTCATCATTATTTTATGTGATATATTTTGACGGCCAACCTACATTATAAGTTTTTTACTAAGAACAAAACTCTTAGCCAAAATTTTGGAGAGTTTACACTACCTATTATGATGAAAAATAACGTGAGATAGTATCACAGACGTTGTTTGTTTCAATTTTAGTACTCTTCATAAACTTTTAAAGGTCACGCCCCCCAGGCTCTCAGTCACCCTGTCCTTTGAGGGTCTCTCTATCGTAGATATCCAATTTAGTAATGCCGTTATGTAGGGTGTGAATAATATGAAAAATTGATAACAAGGAAGAAACAACATTTGTCAGAAATGTTCAGTTAAAAACTTACCTGACAAGCCAGAAACGCCTATGATATTGATCAAGATTTTTTGCCTACGTTAGATAACTGCAATGCGTTCGCCATGAGTAACTGAACTCATTTTTAAATGGACTACATTTTGCAATAAGGAACCAATATTTCTAGCTCATTTTAGAAACAACATATGTGCCATCGGATTCCCTATGCAGAAAGGTGCTTTTATGGAAGAGCCAGAGATAGTTTCCTTATTGCAAAATGTAATCCAAATATCAACAGGCTGTTGCTAAGAAATGCCAAGTTCTTAGCGTTATTTATTACGATTCGAACATTCAAATGCTCACAGCAAAAATCGCCGCGGAAGGTCAATGTACGGTCACTTTTTACTCTTGAAATCGACGAATAATTCAGTCAGGCACACTTTTCCTCGAAACGGATCATGACTCGCCTGTCTCAAAAACTTTCGACGCATAATCGTTCAAGGTTCCAAATGATTCCGGGAAACTATCTTATTCTCTTCACTCAATCCTGGAAAGCTTTTACGCGCCATTAACTTTTTTTGTGACGTTAGAAGTAGCATTAGTTAGGCTGAAGGTCTCTCTGAATAAAAGGCCGACCATACGCTTGTCAGGGAAACAAAAAAACCTTTGACGTGGATTCGACGGGCCTCTTGGAGCAGTATGCGTTTTTTCATGCGCATTGAGAGAACTGTAAATATCTTGGTGCATACTTAA